CTACAAGGAATTCAAAACAAAACAAAAACAAAAACGAACTGCAATCCCTTGTCCGACATAGTGGCCAGATACATTCGTCAAAGCACTGGTATAACTTCCACCCTCGTGAGGGCTTTCCCCGACATCCCTGGAGTGCAACCCTGCCCCGAGCCCCGTGTTTTCAGGAGTAGGCTACTAGATGGACTTTGCCCTCCCGGAACCAATGAAATACCAGCCAAGCTCCTTCGATAGTGGCTACTTTGCCCTGGGCCAGAGTCTTTTTCTGGAATTTATCAGCTAGGTCCTTGGCCCCTTCTGGACTTGGTGATGCCTGTCTTTTGGCCTTCTGCCATTGGGCTCTGATATCCGTTTCCATGAGGTTGTAGAGCGTCACCTTAGCTTCTGCTCTGAACATTGCAATCTGCCCGATCGCCTGTTGGCATGTCCGCTTCCAGATATTCCATATCGTGTACTGTCTCAAAAGCTGGAAGATGTGCTTTTCGTGGGGCTGCCAAGACTTTGGCACGCCGCCTCCTGTCAGTAACGTCATCCTGTCTTGTGGGAAGGAAGCTGACCCAATGTGCAGCCACAGCGTTTGAGCCTCTGTCCATAGGTATTCTGCTTGGGGGCATTGTAGGAGGCAGTGCGTCAGAGTTTCGAGTGTGCCGCCCGTGCACTGGGAGCAGGCTTGGTCCGCTACATCTCTGTGGTGTCTACTACGCCGGTCGTACGGCCACGTGTTGACTCGGAGTGCCACGTGAAGGATGAGCCACTGCATACTCTTGATCTTACCTAACCTGATGGTGTGTAGCCATGACCAAGGCAATTGCTGGACTTGTTCTCTCGGTATGTCAACTCTCTTCTCCCATCTCAACGACAACGGATGGGTGAGCAGGAGTGAGCGCTTCCTCAGACCGTCGCCCAGCTTGGTGGTGTAATGTAGGATGTTAATTCTCCTGGCGACTCGTAGCGTGCCCTCCCTGATGTTCCAGGCCCATTCTGCTGGGTCTTGCATTTTCTATTATACTGCTTATCTATACTTTTCGTTATGGATGGCTTGTGATGATTTGCGAAGGGAATGAGAGAGAAAATTTGGGGTCTTCGAAAACAACTCTCTCTCTCTCTCTCTCTCTCTCTCTCTCTCTCTCTCTCTCTCTCTCTCTCTCTCTCTCTCAAGATTGGAAAGATGTGGGCCATGTGTGCTTTCTGTCTCCTCTGCCTCTCTCTCTCTCTGTTTGTCACTCTCTCTCTCTCTCTCTCTCTCTCTCTCTCTCTCTCTCTCTCTCTCTCTCTCTCTCTCTCTCT